CCCTACAGCTAGCTACTGGACTCCTCTGTAATTAACGGAACGAGCAAAAGATACAGGACTACTATTTTTGGCAGCAGCCATGTCTCCTCCCTTCATCACATATAAATATAAAGTTTTACAAGAACATAAATTCTTCCCTGTACATTAAAAAATGAACAATCAAGACAGTGGGCAGCTGGATCCTGTTATCTCATTTTTTCTATATAAAATCTGTTAGATATTGATATTTCTGCTTCATTTAATTGCATGACTCAAGTGGTTAAGACGCTGAACTGCAGGCTGTGGAAGGTCAGTAGTTCAGCAGTTCGAGACCCGGGTTGCCGCATGATGGAGTGAGCTCCCATCTCTAGTTCCAGCTCCTGCCAACCTAGCAGTTCGGAAGCAAGAAATTGCAAGTAGATAAATAGGTACCACTTCGGTGGGAAGGTAACAGCGTTCCGGGCGCCTTGGTGTTTAGTCATGCCGGCCACATGACCACGGAAACGTCTTTGGACAGTGCAGGCTCTTCGGCTTTGAAACGGAGATGAGCACCGCAACCCTAGAGTCAGACTCGACTGGCTTTCGAGCAAGGGAACCTTTACCTTTTTACTTGTAAGAGAACAAAACTTTGACATTTTCTAGTATAGTTTGGTTTCTGTAGGCATGTTGCGATGAATGACTGGGAATGGACTTGGTTTCTTTTAGGAAATCTAATAAAAAGTAGTTAGACCAGTTGCTTTATGCACGTTTGGTGAGAAATCATCCCCTGTTAGTGTTCTGTGTAGCACAATAGAGAATAAATTCTCACTGTAGCTGTGTCACTTGTTTAAGTCCATGTAGCTTGTTAATGGCAGAGCCAAACATATGAGAGTACTTCTGGCTTGACTAGATGGAGCTGTGCAATTAACAGAATACCAAGAATTAATTACCAAAAATCGATTTTGCGCTATAGCTCAAAATCTTTAATCCTCTTGAATATTTACTGATGCCTGCAGATAATGCATTTTCAGTCAGGTCTGAATGGACTTAATCCATTCCAGAGGTTGTATATGTAGCAAGGAGGAGCAGTGTGCTATATCTCAGAGCTGATAGTTGATTGAGTATTAGAATTTATGATAAGTAATTCTGGGACTCCTAAAGCTGTGCAACTGTGAAAATTAGATTATATTCTTCAGATTTCCAAAGCATAGAAGTGCGTAGACAGTTGAATAAAGAAATGCCTAACAAATGCCTATGTTGTCAATCTTGACAATAAAAGGCCCATGACTGTTCTGAGAGCTGGATAAGCTTAACTGACACAGATCGAGCACTTTCACACATGCTAAATAATGCAGTTTCAATCCACTTCAGCAACCATTTGCCATTTCACACAGTAAAATCCAGTTGCAAAGTACATTGACAGTATGTTATTTAGTGTGTGTGAAAGTGCCCTAGTAGTATTGGGGGGGGGGGAATTCTTGAAAATTTTCACTTTCTTTTTTAAAAGCCCCTTTCCCCCACCAGGTTTCTGACTCTCACTGTTGGCATCATGATTTCAGAAACACATGGGTATAGCTACAGACAAATCTCCAGAATTCAGAACGTTTCTCTAGCTTGCCTTGTATGACTGCCAGTTCCTTACTGTATCTTTTTGATATATTAAACAGAAATCCAGAAGTTTAAATGGATCTGCTGTGGATGTACATTTAATATAATATTTACTCAAAAGGAAAACCCCCTAAAAAGAGGTTATACATAAAAGCTGATGATGAATTTAAAGCTCCTTCCTAAAACAGGTAGCAGTGTAAGCAAATAATGATTACATAATAACAATAAATAATATAAATGACAGAAGAAAATAATTACTTTTGCTTTTTGTACTTAACTACTTGCCTAATCCTTCCCTCTCCAAAATGTCCACAAACTTATAGCAGCTATAGCTAATGTGGTGCTAAACTGCTGTAAACCCACCTGCTGATTGAGCTACTCTGTGAAAAAGCAGAACTACTAGAAAACTACAGCCTGAAGCACAGGGAAAGAAAGAAAAGTACTATGTGGAGTACTATTCTGAGCCAGGAACATGGGTCAATAGAGGAGCAAATCCACCCCACTATTCCTGTGGTTTCTTAACATTTGGCAGACAAGGAGCTGCAGTTTCTAAGGCTAGAGCCAGTTTGGTGTAGTGGTTAAGTGTGCGGACTCTAATCTGGGAGAACCGGGTTTGATTCCCCACTCCTCCACTTGCACCTGCTAGATGACCTTAGGCAAGGCATAGTTCTGGCACAGCTGTTCTTGAAAAAGAGCAGTTTCTGTCAGAGCTCCCTCAGCCCCACCTACCGTGTTTCCCTGAAAATAAGACACTGTCTTATATTTATTTTTTCTCGAGAAGACACACTAGGGCTTATACCACAAATGCATAGAAATCCTGCTAGGGCTTATTTTTGGGGTAGGTCTTGTTTTCGGGGAAACAGGGTACCTCACAGGGTGTCTGTTGTGGGGAGGGGAAGGGAAAGGAGTTTGTAAGCTGCTCTGAGACTCTTGGGTAGTGAAGGGCGGGTTTTAATTCCAATCTCCTCCTCTTCTAGTTAGTGAGTCCACCTGACTCCTCCTCTCTCTCCTTGAAACTCAAAGCAGCTTGAAAGGCAGTATGTCACACTCGGTGGATCTGTATACCCAAGTGAAAGACAACACCCTTTCTTTAGAAAGCTAAAAAGGTGGTACATGTTGTCTTCCTTTTGAGTAAATACAGTACATCTGAGGTGAGTTCTGACCCATGAACCTTGTGCTAGAAAAAATGTCCAGTGGCATCTTAAAACCTAGCAACTCCTGTTTAGTTTGGCTGTTGTCCCTCTGGTCTTGTTATACTGTTCTCCGTTACTGCCCCTTACTTAGGCATGCCTCTCCTCAAGTTATGATGGAATATTCTTCTACAGTACAAACACTAGGTTCCAAATAAATCATGTGCAGGAAACAGCACATATTTAGAGGGTTATGCCACTTTTTCAAGAGTGACTTAATGGAGTATTGTTGGCATGCTGTGCTCACATTAATCGCCACCAAGCAATGGCATGACAAGGCAGTTAGTGTTAGTTTCCCACTGCAAGGCAGTGGTAGCAGGGTTGCTTTGTGTAGGGGGGTGGTTTGTGGGGAATTCTCAAAGTGTGAACCAGGGATTTTTAGCAAACACAAAGCATTGGGAGTGAGGTAGAGATAGATCAGCATAGAAGACAGGGAACCTCTGATATAATTTCAGTATGGTATACTATTTGCAGTTACTTCCATGTTCTTTTAAAGGTGTTATGCAAGAAAGGTGTTATATATGCCAAGAAAAACCCTTTAATGTTACGGAAACTATATTTTAAGTAGGTTTTAAATTCAAATCTTTTATTTTTGTATATTTTGTACTCTGTATGCTTCTAAAAACTACTGTTATAACTATATATATGTGGTTGGTCTAGCGACCGTAATAAATTCTACTAATTTTTTGAGTTACATTTTAAAAAGCAAACCTGTTCAGTTGTAGAAAAGGGAGTTCATTAATGTTTAGTGAAATCTGCAAGAAGAAACAGACAAACATGATCATCTTTCTACTCGTCTGCCCACCTCCTGTAGTATTAGCTACCATCTACTGTGCACATATGTGGAGCTGACTCAGGAATAGTGGTATTAAATAGCGCCATAAATGATGTTATATCTGGATTTTAACAATTGTTGATATTATGTTTGAATTACTCTGTCTTTTATCATACTGTTGTAACCCACCCTGAGCCCTGTGGTACAGGGGAGGGTGGGCTAGAAACCAATTAATTAATCAATCAATCAATTAATTAATTAATTAAAAATCCCAACCCTTCTTATTATATACTTACAAGTGGCATCATCATAGCATTCTTCAACTTTTTATTGCAAAGCGCGAAGTATACTAGGAAGCTGTCTAATCTAGCCAAGAGGTTTGATAACTGAAAGCTGTCATAATTGGAGGCCAAGCACAAAGCTGTACTTGGAAATGAGATTTGTACCTGTCACTTTTATAAAGGGAAAAAAACGGGTAAAAGGTTCACCTGTCACACACCCCCACCCCCAAGCTGGTAAATGGTATACTGAATAGCCTTTTATTTGAGTCATGTCTTGCCTTGCTTGCTTCATTCCATTTTTGTTCCTTTCAATCAAGATAAATCAGCAAGAAGGAGATTTCAAGAAAAGGCAAATAAATGACACACACACACACCCCGTGGGGCATTTAGGGACAGAATCATGGCCAGAAATGTTGTGATGGTGGCAATTAAGGTAGCTCCTCCAGTGTATGAAAAATAGGTGCCAGAAAGCAAAAACTTAAATACAGATTATAATGGTTCAACTTAAGTTGCTTAGTTTTAATATTAATGCAATTAAATGGTAAGTGCTTGTCAGCTGTCCTAGTACCTTAGTTGTCATTGTTTAGGACACTGGAAGAACAAGTTTCTTAACAGCTGGGTGAACTGTTTCCTCTGTGTGTGTGTGTTTCTTTATCCTCAGAATGGGTAGGAACTGTTTTTGTAAAAGAAAAATCAGTCCTGGTCTGGTGCCCTTGCTTTATGGTACAGTTCTCCACAGAAACAGGGAAGTAAAAAAAAGTCTATAGTACTCTGCCGCTTACTCTGAAGACATAGTGAAATGAACTTGGAGGTCGCTAAGTGGCATGTTTCTCTAAACTACCTCCAGTTTGCCTGTTTCTTTGTGCAGTTAATTGTTTTCAGTACAGAGAGCAGACATCAGACATGTCTGATAACTTAGCCATCCTTTCCACTGTGTCTAGGACCCCATGCTGGGTCTTGTCTGAGGCCTCATATTAATTTCATGCTGAGTTTTCCTGCATTGTTGAGAACCCCAGCTCTGTTTGTGTTCTTGGGCTTTGTGTATTCCTGTCTGTTGGCACACTTTTCTTGGGATGGCTGGGCCTCCTGTACCCTTTCTCCATTCCCCAGCACTCATCAGACTTTCCACTTTGGCTCTCCTCTGGGCATGGCTAACTTAAGCACCTGGCTTTCCTTCTTCCTCTCTAGATCTTTGAACGAATCCTGTTTATTTGGGCCATTCGACACCCAGCCAGCGGCTACGTGCAGGGGATTAATGACCTGGTCACTCCATTCTTTGTCGTGTTCCTCTCTGAATATGTTGGTAAGCGATGTTTGATGGCTGCAGTGTGTTATTACCCTTGCTGTTGAATGCTCAAATTGTCATCATCAGATAAGCTTTATCATGCCAGAAATGCTTTGCTGTTGGCTGTTGTATGAAGCCAGAATGCATATTAATCTATTTCCACTTCTCTTCTGGGCTAGCTTTTGTCAGTAGCGTACAGTACTTAACAGTGCAAGTAGGTATGGTTTTGAATGCATATTTAGCTGTAGTAAAATGAGCCATTTGAGACTAAAAGTTGATAGTCATTGCAAGGGTGGTGTCAAAATATTTAAATTCTGTGCTGAGGGAACTAACATTTTGCAATCAGAGTGCATTACGCAAATCGTACATACATTTATTTTATTAATGGAAAGGCCTGCCCATCTCCTGTAGCGTTTAGGAAGGTTACAAGATGGAACCATGGCTATGATTATTTATCACATTTATGTTGTGAAGAGTTTTCTGTTACAGAACACATAGAGGTTATTTATCAGTACAATAAGAGCCTTGTGTGATAAGTCAGTTACCATGATCTGATTTGGAAGCACATGTTCTTTTTTCTTTCTTTTTTTCATCCCCGAAGGCTTAGAATGGGAACTGCAAATTAGAGTATGCATCTGTAAGAAGTGAACTGGCTAAGAGATATTAAGGCGACCAAGAATTATACCAAAACTTTTTTTCATTAGCAAGTTCAACTATGTATGTCTGTCTCTTTCATTTGCTGCTGTGGTTACTGTCGTGCCTACCTTCTGTGCTAACTGGGGCAAGGTAACTGTACTGTACTCAAGACTTGCAGAATAATTATGCGCATTGCATACGTTATGGAGATGTGTGAGCATAAATCAAACAGGATAAGGGCATACACCACTGAATAATGATAGAAACTGTGGCTATTGCAGAGATCATGAATACTTTGGGGGTTAATGTCCATCCTAGTTGCAAAATACTGCCGTTTGCAAAATGGAGGGGAAAGTGTAATGGAGCTGGAAAGGCTGATATTTGGTATATAGGGTAAGAGAAGTTAATAGAGTTCTGTGCATGAAAAGCTACAAAGTTCTACCCAGAAGAGCATGCACATCCTTCCCAGCCTTACCCAGACCCTGCTGTCACCTTTCTTAGATTCCCTACTAAAAATCTGACAAGTATATTATTTTAACCAAATCTAAAGCAAATTGTCAGAGACCCAAGCCTGGGTCCCCCTGGGTCACCACTCCTTTTTTCGTGAAGAGCACCCAGCCCTGTCCTCGAGGTTAAATGCACACAAATAAAGCGGATCACCCCCACCTGTCCTGACCCCCTGCCCTACTCTCCTATTCACCTACTCTACCCACTGTATAAGGTAGAGGTGTTTTATATATGGACTGGTGGGAATTCGGCCACTTGCTTTAATTATGTTATCATGATCTTGTGAGTTTTGTATAGAACAGAGTCTTAACTTTTATAGTATTATGTTTTAATCTTTTAAATTGTATACCTATGTGTTGTGAGCTGCCCTGATCCTGTTTGTGGGGTAGGGTGGGATATAAATCAAATCAATAAATAGTTTTTTAAAAAGAATATCACATGCACTGCAGTCTCTAACGCATAGCAGCAAAGAAATTTTAAAAAGCTAACTATCTAATAAATTTAGTACTTGGTATTAAACGGTCTACCTTCTTATAGCATGAGAGTCCAAGCTGTGGCCTAAAGCATTCTATACATAGCTTTCCATCATGTTGTAGCATAACATATCAAAGTGTACTAGCATGGTACAAGCATTAAGTTAGCATAGCTTATTATTTTTATTAAATTATATATATAATAAGGCTATATCCCTTATTATAGTCTCTTGCCCTTTGGCACCAGGTGGTCTCTCAGATCCAATCAGGAATCTCCCTTTATGGAACTTTTCAGAAGATGTTAACAGCTGTTTCTAATTCCCCCCTCCCATTTAGTTATACAATTGAGCACAGGTTCTCATGATTAACCAATTACCACATTCTTGAATCTGGCCTTGAAAGAGATACGGATGGTATCAGCAAGAAGGCCCAAACTATGAACACCTGCAGGCCAGAGCACGCCTGCTAATAATCATGTTGAGGGGAATAACGGTGCTTTGCCTTATACGCCCCCCTTTCTGGAAGCTGAAATCCATGGTGTTACTATGGTTGAAGCTCACTATACCTAAGCAAAGCAACTACATTTTACATTCCTATGAAGCGAGGTAGATTAATGGTGTTTTAGCAGCAAGAATACAGTAAAGAGCGGAGCATATATATTGAAGCAGGAACTACTGAACCAGCCTTACTTTGAGACTTACTGCCCTTGTGGGACAAACTGTCAGCCACTATGTTTTGGCTATCTTTAATGTGAGGAATCTTAAAGTTAAAATTTTGCAGGCTTAAGGCCCACCTCAGGACTTCTGCATTATTTCCCTTCATTCTGTGGATAAGGTTTCAACTTGTTTAAGGCCTAAGCAGTCCCTAGACACTCATGTTCAAGAGTTGCATAAGCCTGTTCTCATGGTAACAACTTCTTGCTCAGATGGGGTGATATTCACCACCCTCCCCCACCCTCCACCCTCTGTAACAACATAGCACCCAGACCCCTTGAAGAAGCATCAGTTTGGACAACAAAGGCCTTGTTATAATCAGGTGGAACTCAAATGGGTGCTTGAGACAGTTTCTCTTTTAAAGTCTCAAAAGCATGTTGACATTCAGGGTTCCAGATGACACTGGTATGTGCCTTCTTGTACAAATCCATCTTTGGGGATGCCAGTTGGCTGAAATGGCCAATAAAATGACAATAGAAACCTATGAGACCTAGGAAGGCTTGCACATCTTTCTTGGTAACAGGCTTAGGCCATTCCATGATGCTGGCTATCTTAGTGTTATGAGGCCTGATGTCATTCAACCCAATCAGGTGGCACAAATAAACAACATGGCTATATCTAAACTGGGACTTCGAGTCCTTGATGGTCAATTCTCTGAAGTATTTCATACCCATGCTCAAGGTGTTCATTCCAAGTGGAGCTGTAGATGGCAATATCATCCGGATGGACTAGTTTTTGCGGCAGCCTGCTAAGCATTTGATCCATTAATCTTTGAAAGGTCCTAGACACCCTGTTCAGTCCAAACGGCATCTTTACAAATATAATGTCTCAAAGGTGACACAAATGCTGTTTTATCAGATGCTTCTGAACTCAAAGGTACTTGCCAATAGCCAGATGCTAAATCAAGGGTGCTGATATATCTTGCACTGACCAGGTCATCAGTTAAACTTTCAGTTTGTAGAGTAGGGTAGGGTCCATAACAGTTAACTTGTTCAGCTTTCTAAAGTCCCCACAGAAGCGATATTCAACAGGTGCAGTTTCAGACAGCCTCTTCTGGGGCACAATCACAATAGGTGACCACCAATCTGAATGGGACTCTTTAATCACTCCCCACTTCAACATTTGCTGAATTTCCAAAGCAACAATTTCTTTCATGGGTCCATTTAGTGGATAAGTGCTAGATTTTATTGGAGGGTACATTCCAGTTTCAGTGTGATGAATAATTAAATCTATCTTGCCAGACACATTAGAGAATAGTGTTTGAAAACATTGCAATACTTGTTTTAATTCACTCTGCTGTTGGGGAGTTAAAATAGAAGCCATCTGCACATGCTCTGTGCCTTCAGCTGTCATCAATCCATCCATCAAATTCAGCAGAGGCATCTCTTCCTCCTCCACTCCCTTTACAGAAACATCTGTCCAACTCTTTCTTTAAATAACTTCAAACGATTGATGTGAATTACTTGTGCTCTTTTCTGTGAATTAACTTCTTTAACCAGATAATTGTCCATTTTTTGCAGCACCTCATACGGACCTTCCCAAGCAATAGCTAGCTTGAATATATGATCTGGTTATAGCACTAACACTTTATCTTTAACAGCAAAACATCTGGGCTTAGCCTTTCAGTCATAATAGACCTTTTGATGATCTTGTGCCTCCTTAAGGAATTCAATGGCTGCCTCTCTAGCTATTCCATGGTGATTTTAGCCAGAGTCGTCTTTATGTCCAGGTGGCCTGCAAAGGGGATATCATGCGCCACCTTAAGAATTTCCTCTCTGTATACCTGGGGAATGACAAGATGACAAATTGGATCAGTTCCTTCTAGGTGATTTTTAGGCAAATATTCCCCATACAGGAATCCATCACACTACACAAGCCAGGCAGTTATAACTCCATGCAACTCTGGTGGTGCAGCATCACCTTGCAAATGGTAGTCCTTCAAGCTTTCACAATTAAGCTGTGCCTCCTTAAAAGCTGCTGAAAGCCATAGGCTTACTGCTGCATCTGTCTGCATAGCCTTACAATCAGATTATGCCTCCTTAAGAGCAACTGAAGAATTTAAGCTCACCGCAGCATCTGCCTGCAAAGTCTCACCATCACGCTGTGCCTCCTCAAAGGCTGTTGTGCTAGTGGGGCCTTCCTTCTCGGCAGGCTCTTCTCTCACAGCCTCGTCTGTCTGAGGGGCTGCCTTCTCAGCCACAGCCAACTCATGCCTCAACCAATTAACAATACAGGCATTTCACCTTCCCAGTCATGAAACTTTACTTCCACTAGGGCCACAGGCTGGTTGGAAATTAATGTGTTGTAGGTCTGAATGGGCATTTTGCCAATCCATTTAACCAGTTCCTTTAAAGTGTTTCTTGGCACGGAGCTGAAATCTGAGCCTGTTATCAGCAAAGGCTGTCAGGAGGGCATCCTTTTCGCAATAGTACTGTCTCCCCTCAACTCCTCAAGCCACCATTTCTGGGTGGCCAGTACAAACAATTTGAAGGGAGGTACCTTGCCATCTTCCAAGTCGGCATCAGGGGGTAGTGCCTCCCGAGTAATCAGTTTAGCTCTCTGAATCTGTTCTACTTGTGGCTACTGAACATGGAATTGCTTGTTCTTCTTAACAACTGTGACCAGGGGAATTTTGGCATCTTGGGGTTCCTCTCCATACGTTTCTCAACATCCGAGTGGCTCTTCAGTA